ATGAAGAAAAACTTTAATATAAGTTTAACATGACAGCAAATGTACAACGTTTCGACAAGGCTTTGTCATCATCATTTGAAAAGAGAAATGTTACTTCTTTGTTTTCTTTTTGCAGCTGAGCAAGTCTTTAAATCTGTGGCTTCTCAGTGACAGGTTAGGTTAAAGAAACATAGTCGAGAGGGAGGGAGCACTGAACCATTGATCTGTTTCTGTCGGGGGACTGTATGAGTAAAACCTAAATGAGCTGTGTATAATGACAAACCTACGTAACAAACTCTCATTGAAGTACAGAGAAACTGATGGAGAATTTAATACTTTTACTGTTTCTTATTGGGACAAAAAGAATAAGAATAAAAACTGGAATGATTCCAGTTTTTTTTCGGATGTCTTGTAACCCTAAGCATGGCTCATTGGTTAATGTTCTGGACTATGAAAATGAGGTTCCGTGGTTCACATTTCAGTACAATGGATGCGTTATAGTCAGACTAGTCCAAGGGTTGGAGGAAGCTAAGGTGGATTAGCTGTCTTAACAATATTACCAATTATACTACAAGTAGTAATAATGATATTACTCTGGTATCTAAAGTCTCTAGATGTGACAATATAATTTCCTGTTAGCACAAATTGTGGTATCTGAAAGACCACAAATTTTTGAGTCCATACATTTGACATGGGTGTCAAACACCGGTTAATTATTTAACTCATTATTTTAAAGTCTTAAAGGTGACTCGTTGGATTCTTTAGAACTTCTTAATTTAATTTCATTGAAACGTTTCTGTAAGACAAAAACAATTATGAACATACTTAAAAAACAATTTATACAGCGTTTGAAACGAAGTCCACATGGCATCCATCGGTGCTAACCACACAACAACAACAGAAAGGAAATGTCTAAGTGGTTTTTTTTCATGCTAATTGTTTACTTGGACATAGCTGTCTGGTTCTTGATTTCCTGAATTAACTATTCAATTTAAATATTATAATCTCAAAATAAATCTAAGTAAACTAGACTACAGCAAAAAAATAATTCTCTCAACTTCAGCGCCAGTTTTACATCAATACCATGTTTCCTTCCAGGATAAAAACAGTATTCCAAAATAATATTATGCAGGAAATACACAAAATTATAAAGACAACGTACAAAATATGAACAGTTTGACAATAACAGAAATATTATACTTGATGAAAATTTTAAATAACAGTACTTAAAAAACTTCATGCAACAAAGTTCTTACCAAAATACAAAACCTAGGAGACTAAGTACGAAAAAAAAACAAAAGAGGGATGGATAATAGATCACCTCCTGGTGAATATGTTTACGAGCAGTAACACATGACTTATAAGATTAATAGCAGAATTGTTGATCTCTTGATTACTTTTTACTGTTCTTCATATAAAAGTAGATTTAACAGTATTTCTAAATACAATATTGCACAATTAACACTTCAACAATAAAGGCACTTCAATTTGGATACAGGTTAACAGGGGCACTTGATACCGTACTTAACAATTATAATAGGTGTTTGAAAAGTTTATCACACCGTAGTGCTTTAAGTGCTTCGAAACAAGATGTAATATTTGTCAATTAGACAAAAAAATTAATTATGAAAAAAATGGTTAAAGAATTAAAAAAAAAAGACTGGCCCAATATCTGAGCTGATGGTTATATAAACTACTTACACCAATAGTTTGCCGTGATAAAAACATGCTTGTTTCAACCGTGAACACTTTGAATCAGAACTGATACTAATTGCATCTTGTAATCTGGTCAATATCTATCTTAATATGTTTGGTCACTCTTATCCAGGGGTGGAAGTGCAGAGAGGGGAAGAAAGATGTGCTTTTATTGTACTTTTATCATTTCCTCACTCTTCAACTAATTCATTGTTTTTGACATCAGAACATACCACTGGATTTTTAGGGTTACCATCTTCTCTAGGAGAAGTAACTAGTGTGTCTGTTATACAAGAGGAGACTCGTGTGACTTCATCATTACACTTTTGTTTCTCATGATTTTCACTAGATGAAACTCGATTCTCGTGAGCACAAGTCTTTCCTGTACATGAAACTGAAGTGTTTTCATTATCAACAACCTCCACAACAGATGAAACTTGGGTGGCTTCAAGAGGAGTATGCAGTTCTGTAACAGATGGAACTGGCGTACTCTCAACCTCGCCGATTTCTGAACGTTTATATGGAAACATGCCTTGAAGTTCACCATTCTTCACATCACCATTGTCTGGGTCATCTCGAGAGCTATTGTTTATTGTATTACAAGATACCGATGAATCTTGATTACTGATCACAACACCAGAAGGCTCTGTGGGAACTGGTGGCGTTGTTACGATATTGTTTGTTTTACAAGAAGTCTGTGGCTTGTCTTGAATAGTTTCCTCCTTGGAGATGGAATTATGTAACTCTTTCTTCACTTGTGACAAGCAGGGTTTACAAGCTGAAGAAACAGAGACTGGTGGTTTGATAGTTGTACAGTACGAATAGGTGGCATCATTGAGAGAGCACAGCAGAGGCAGGATCTAAAAAGAGTCAAAAAAGTAAACTAAATCTTTTTGTTTCAATCCACAATACTAAGTAATGACCAGTAATACAGTATTAGATGACAGTTTTACTTATTTGTACAAATATTGATCTTATAAAACAATATAACTAAAATACAATTTCTAAATATTTCCTTAGTGAAAAACCTAGTAAGTTATATGGTTATCTTTTTGTATTTTAGTGTCAAACTATATTATATCTATTCTCCTTTTTACATAAAGAATTACTCACATTTTCAATGCCGATAACTTCACATTCTTCAATCATGGATTCCATCTCCAGTTGCTTCATCAGCTCATAGAGTTTACGGGCTTTACGAGCTTCATTTTGTTCTATTATTGTACATAACCTCTCTGTAAGCTCTTCCTTCTGCTCCATCTTTTTAAACAGATCAAGTTTGGCTTCAACAAACTCTTTCTCTGCCTTATCGTAACGCTTCCTAATAACCAAAATCATGAAATAAAACAAAACACTTGAGTACAAGACTACTAGATGTCAGTTATTTGTCTGAAATTTATTAACTATCAATGAAATGGTTCATTTCAACTTACCAAACTTTATATTCTGTATCAAACAACAAATGAACTTAACAAGTAAGTTTAAACATAAGAAAGAGAGAGTGTGTTTTGTTTTGGAATTTCGCACAAAAGCTACACGAGGGCTATATGCACTAGCCGTCCTTAAGTTAGCAGTGTAAAACTAGAGGGAAGGCAGCTAGTCATCACCACCCACCACCAACTCTTGGGTTACTCTTTTACCAACAAATAGTGGGATTGACCATCACACTATAACACCCCCATGGCTGAAAGGGCAAGATGAATACAACAAATATATCCACAATTCACAAAACTGAATGTCAGTTCTTTAAAGAGACTAGAGAAGAAAGTCAAGATGTCAGAACACACGACTGATATCCAAGTCCCACTTTTTATACATTCTAGATCCAAAAATAAAAAGCAAGGACAAAAGTACAGCTAGAACAACTGCTCCTTTGGAATTTTTTTTTTTTACTATTAGAAACGGGAAGATCAAATATTTCATTATCTAATCTAAAGCCTGTATTTGAGTTTATAAGTAATGAAATTTAAATAAAGTTTCTGTTTTACATCCTAAATACGACTCCTCACAAAGTACTTCGAAGAGCGATTACTACTTACTGAGCATCTTAATTGGAATTTCTATTATCCAAACTTGGTGTTACTCTGCTCTCGGTTTTATCTAACGTTTATAATCGATGGAATTCAAATAATGTTTCTGTTTTACATCCTAAATACGACTCCTCACAAAGTACTTCGAAGAGCGATTACTACTTACTGAGCTTCGTAAAATTCTATACTTGCAGTTTCAATTTGGTCACGAAGAACAGACACATCAACACTAAGCACAGAATCCAGATGGCTTAGTTCTTCCTGGATATTTGACAGCTTCTTGGCTTCAGCCTGGGTTCTTTTCTTTCTGTATTTCATAAATTCCAGAAATTAAAAAGCTTATACAAGTAAACTCCAGAGTATTTCCTATAAATACTTGTCTATTTTGTTTAAAAAAAACAATGTTTTAGTTCTATTAAGAACTTTGTAATTATAACAGTGTATTCACTCCTTTCTAATAAACTGTAAAATCTTATATAAAGATATCTAGAATAATACTTACAAGTACTTAACTATTTCAATTATAACAGTGTTCACATTCAAAGTAGTTTAATTAAGCTGAAACCTCAGGCCATTATTCATCAAATCTAATTCTATATGGAAAATACATTCACAAGAAACGCAGGTTTTCTGGCTAAATTCTACGAAATGTTTACCAGTTATGAATATACACACAAGCTTTTGATGTCCACTAGAGACACGAGTTAAAGGTTGCCAGCAATGTTAACTACACCAGTTTTAATGTAATGTGTTTACATTAACATTTCACATGGAGAAAACACTTAAATGTTTAGTTATTATACACATACTAACAATGATAAAGTTGTGTTGTATTCTGAGTAAAGCTGCATGAGAGATATCCACACTAGCTGTTCCTAATTTTGATATACTAAAGGGACTACTTGTAGTATAATTGGTAA